CATGCTCGATTTGGCATTTCTTGCTCCATTGGCAGGAGTTGTTTCTGGACGAGGGCTCCCCTCATTTTCCTATTCATTTTGTGGAATTTCTTTCCTGATGGGTTCCTCTGTTTGATCTATTGCAAGAGCTCTCGTATGTTTTCCTCTGGACTACAAAAATTATAGTATGCTCTTGGCCTCCCCGGTTTACTTCCTTCTATGTTGGATTCTATGCTGGAAAGGGAAGTGGTTTCCCTCTTTTGTTTATGTGTTTTGATCCCTGCAGGATTCACACGTGGCTTGCTCTACACATGACTTATTTGGCTCTCAACTGGATTCTGATGTTGTCTCTTCAAACTCATCGAATCACTCGAGCTCTCTCTTCGATTTTTTGGTTGTTTTTGGTGTACATCTATATATTGGGTATATTTTTTTCTTTTGGTATATTGGATCTCATGTATTTTGAGTACATAATACTTTTTATTACTTTTCTTTCATATTTTGGCGTGGAGTTGCAATGTTGATAGAGGAACCCCTAGGGCCCTTCTTTTGTTTTTATATAGGGATCATCCTTCCCTCCCTCACTTTTGTACATTCTTTTTATATTAACACGTAGGGAGTCACGTGTATATATATATATATAAAAAAGAATGATACAGATAGATTGTGTGAGAAGGCTCAAGCATGGCATCCTACCCACACGATAAACACCACATACAAATGGTTCCAAAAAAAAAGAATATACAGAAAAATGCATGAGAGCCCAAAAAATCAAAAGAGTCAAAACACATAGTATCAGTTATCTAGAGAGCGACCCAATTTTACCTTGCCTCTGCCTCTAATTCTAGGAAATGAGTCAGCTAACAAGTTGGTAAAATGAGTGTCATTGCCAGTAGTAACCAATGTATCATCTAATAAGTTCCTGAACTTGAGTCGGCCTCCATTCTTCTTCTTCCTCCAGGAATAGTCCTGTCATTCCTCATCCGAAGACTGACTCACATGATCAGTGGAATGGTCTAAAGTGTGTCGGACATGTGTGGGGTGTTTAACATTAGAAACAATTACTTGTTGTACCAGCTGATCGTTTATTGGATCAAATGAGTTTTCTACAATAATAGTGAGTGGTATAGACACATTTGGATCAGTACTTGTAGTATGAGGAGATGTTTCATGAGACTCCAAAGTACAATGCTCCAAACCAGCAACTAAAATAGTGTGTTCAAAAATAGGAGCATCCAGGGGCAGAACGGCATGAGTATGGTGCTCTTCATCAGGAACAACGTCAGTCAGATGAGCGGAGGTAGGGCCGAGTTGCACCACCTCATCAGGGATGGTAGGTGGCAAGACGTGTGTCGGCAACGAGCTCTGTAAGGGTTTCTCCCGATGGCGATTCCTGGCGCTGAATCCATCGGACTCACTCCTTTTTCTTCGGCGTCTACCACGACAACAATTCCACAAAGTTGTAAGCTCGCAGTTTGTCTCTCCAGCCCGACGATGTCGTTTTGTTCGCCTCAATCGAAGACGACGATAAATTCTTCCTGTTTCGCACGTCATCTCTTAACCGACCACGCGCCTCTGACAGACGTTTCGTCTTGCAGTTGCGCCCGAAAACGACGACAACGTCTTCGTACGCCCAACCGAAGACGCCTTGTCTGCTCGCCTCCCACCCGACAGATGATTTCGTCTCGCATTTGACGTGTCGTAGTCAGCTTCACCTAGCAGATTGGCGCACCAGAATCTGACTGTGGTCATGTTACCTGTTGAGATGGCATCGACGCTCCGTTCCCATGCCACTGCCCTTGTCGGCGACTTTCCTAATCCTACTTGTGCCCCTCTTTCAGGTGCATAGTCTAGTTTTGGTATCAGTAAGCCCTGCAATGTTCCACAATCCTTCCATGAGGCTCTTGAAGGTGGTGGTGATCACACTTTCATTAAACAACTTGGTAAAAAAATGAGAAATCTGTTCTTTTTCTCTCTGATGTTGAAACCAGTACTCTTGCGTCTTCTTGGCGTTTTGCTCTAATGGGGAAATTCCTTTATGGGAACCCAAAATTTGAGATCATTCGGAGAGATATTGATGCTATGAAACTATTAAGTAGTTGGAATATTGGCTTACTTGACGGCCGACATATACTTATTCAGCTATCTCACGATACAATTACATTCATATTTTTTCTCGTAAGGCAATCAAGATCGACAATCGTTTTATGAAAATCCTAAAGTGGACTATCAATTTTGATCCAAAAGCGGAGTCTCATATCATTCCTGTTTGGATAAAATTTTCAAGGTTAAAACTACATCTGTTCAACTTGAAAATTCTCTACTCCTTAACAACTGCTTACGGTAAATCTCTTAAGGTTGATAGTCCTACACTTGCTATCACCAGACCCTCTGTAGCTTGTGTGTTAATTGAGAGAGATATCAATATCATGTTTGTGTCATGCCTTGTATAAAATATTAACTGTCCATGCTTCATATTGTGTGGGTAGAAAATGCTTTCGTAGAAATTGCCTACTAGGAAGGTCTTACAAGGAGAGTATAATTTTTCTATCATAGTTCCTTCATAGGTGAAAAACTACTTGGATCTGCCATAGTATCATGAATATGAATCATATAGAATAACTTTTGACCGGAACTTAATGAATATAAAATTGATTAGCATAAATTTTCTGATTATGTCAGCAATTGAAAAGCTAAACATTGAAAATCTTAAAATATATATTTGATAAAAATAGAAAATATAGATTGAATGACTATATGATTTATATCAAATGAATACTAGAAAAAGTTTCTATTGAAGATAAATTACTGAAAAATAGGTTGTGATTTGAGCACGTGCAACAAAGAATGATAGATACACAAATAAGAAAATAAACACAACTAATATTATCAAATATAGAAGTAAAAGTAATAAAGCGCAAAAATATTTGCTAATATGTTTAACACCTCATACAACATGCAACTGGAACAAAAGAGAATGAAGGATTTGAAAATTTTTAACAGGCACTTAATGGATAAAAAATTGATTAGCATAAATTTTCCAATTATGTCAGCAATTGAAAAGCTAAACATTGAAAAAGTTAAAACATATATTTGATAAAAATAGAAAATATGGTTCGAATGACTACATCATTAATATCAAAGGAATAATAGAAATAGTTTCTATTGAAGATAAAGTACTGAAAAATAGGTTTAAGTGATTTGAGTAAGACAAAGAGTGGAAGTACAGAAATAAGAAAATAAACACAACTAATATTATCAAATACAGAAGTAAAAGTAATAGACCGCAAAAATATTTGCTAGAATATGTTTAACACTTCACACAGCACGCAACTGGAATAAAAGAGAATGAAGGGGTTTGGATAAATTTAATGATGATGATGAAATTCGGAGTAGTGAATGGTGTTCAACAATTGAACAATTTAGATGGTTACAAAATCTCAACATGACAAGAATTATTGCAATCTCAACTAGATGAATGCCTCTCCACTAGCAATTTTCCACTTTACGGAGGCCTATAATAATATTTATAGTACCACATTTTCATATTAAATTGAAAGTTATATCTTAATTTTAAATGAAGCTTTCTGATATTTTAAAAAGGAAATGTTGGAAGTTTAACCTATATTTTGTGACACTGGCTTGCATAATACATGTTCATGGTACAAGCCAAAATTTGCTTGTAAATAAGCTAAATAATAAAATTTTAGAACTACCTTACATGGTTTTCTTCACTTTCTAGCATATATAGACGATAAACTAGAATCATTTCCATAGATCCTAAACTAACAGTATCTTAAATTCTCTTGGCTCAAATTTATAGTCAACACTGTTTCAAAATATTTAACTTAAAATAGAATCCCATACACCAAATCAATAGTTATCTCTATAAGATGAAACAAGAAAAAAAAATACTACAATCAAGTATAACTTACAATTTACATTGAAGTATTATCATTTGTAACATTAACCGATATAATTCGGAAAAGTCACAAAATCTTGAACAAATTAAAATTAAATCGGCTTCATGTTTTATTTTTTTTCTTTTGCTTTTACCCTTCCTGGGGACAAAATTGCTGAAATTGATTCTGGTCAAGAGAGATAGCATGGCCAGCTAGTAATAACTTATGGTTTGGATTCTTGAGCACATTGGTAAAGCTTTCTCTTAAGTGCAAAGAAGACCATTTGAAGAGAAACTTCTGAACATATAGTTGGTTTATCACTCCTTTCCAGCTTGCGAGTAAAAGGTTGAGGTTAGGAAGCTTGGAGCTGATGGGGTAGTGATTCAATTAATTGCAAAAAGATCTATTATGAAGACAAATGAATAATTTAATCAACAGTTGATATTTCATCATTTTCTGGTATGTTTTGCTCAAAGTAAATTAATAATTTTATTAACTTATCAAATTATGCCTTAATTGGTCATTTCTAAGTAAACCACGAATGAATTTTTTTCTATTGACTTGGTATTTAAAAGCCAACAACCCCAGAACAGCATTTGCAAGCTACTTCTGTTCATAGACCTATTGTTGCGATAATTTAGCAAATTTAAAATAAAAATAACAATATATATGGTTTCTAATGCAAGTTTGTAACCCATGCTTCTGGTGTATACTAGAAGAAATCTATGGGATGCAACAGTACATTTGTTCACCTTTGCTGATAAATAATAATGTTGCTTATCAACCACTAAAATGGAATGGCGCAAACCATTCCAGTCCCCATTCTAGGTTTGATATCAATCCAATGATCAAAAAACTTCAGTGAAGCCAATGCCTACAGGGTCACTATGTAGGGAAGGAAAAGACATATCTTATAGCAATTATATTTTTATAAACAGTTTGTGTTTCCCCCTCATCGATTGGGGTGACTAAACATGATATAACTTTCCCGGGATATAACATGTCAACTAAGCCAACCACCAATTTTCTCCATAAGAAACAAGGTGCTGAAGGAATTGTAGATCCATAAGAATATAAGAAGTAATTCACCTTGATGGTGATTCGAGAGACTCCACTTACCGTACGCGTATGCCACCGATGGATTATTTTCGCTTCTAACAATAGTATCCCCGTCCGCATACCAAGCAATCTCCTCCCCCTGGCGAATCTCTCGCGGGCTACTTCCCGAAACGATAGACCATCACTTCAGAAAATGCACATTTGCATCTCTGCATAAACAATAGAGAAACCAGCCAAGAATCAAATAAAACCTGAGCGGGCGGAAGCGGACTGTGACTGTCACGTTCTCTTTGGACACCTCCGTCTCCAGCGCGAGGCTCTCCAAATAGGAATGCGGCTTGCTCTTGGACGAAGATGACGCTGGTGAGCTCTGTCCATCCACCGACGCAACCTCTGACACTAATCTCGACGAGGATGTGATCGACGATGACGGTGAGTTCACGACTTTCGCCGCAGTCACTGATCTCTTCTGCCTCGGGGCCGCCCTGGAAGCCATCGGTAAGCCCCGATCACCACCCCGCCTTGCTGAACGACAACGGCCTCCTCAGCTACAGGGGCAAACCGCTCCATAGGTGAGATAAGAACGAATTCCACGCCATTTGAGGTGGAAGCTGCGTAGATCGGAGCAGCATTCTTCCGAAATCGCGTAGAAGTGGAGTATTGTTTAGGCAACAACGAGAAATGGTTTAGGATTTCTTTAGGGTTTGCGTCATCCTCGCTACCCTTTCTTACCTTGTAAGCGATGCTCCCTTTCAGTAGATCGAAAAGAACCTTGTCCCAAAGGCGTAAACCTTTTATTCGACTGACAGGCAGACGCCTCACCGCGAATCTCAGTAAACATCGAAATGTAGCCGTTCCTGCGAACGATATATATCCTTCGCTCTATCATTTAAAAATTATAAAAAATTTAGGTATTTTTTATTTCGAAGTCTACGGTCAACTTTCAATAATATAATTCATATTATTGATGAATATTTTTCTAATTGGATTTAAATATAAACAAAATTAATTAATCTAATTCATGAATAATGATGATTAATTAAAATTAAACAAAATTAGTTAATCTATTTGGTTTCAATTTTTCTCAAAAATCTTCTTAGGTACCCTCTTAACCTCTGAATAATTTCTTATAAATTTTCAATCATATTTTAAAGGGTTGATCGGTCATGAAATTATTTAATAATTTTATTAATTAACAATGTTTTTCTAAAGTTCTATAGAGCCTTTATGCCCATGATTAAATGATAAATCAGGTCAGTTGAGCATAACAACTCATCTTAAATATATTTAATTATTTTATTTTGTTTATTTTTATGCTATCACTTCATTTTTCCACTTCCTTAATTTTATTTTGTTATATTTTTTTTTAAATGAGGATATATAAATGGATAATATTAACAATAAGAACACGATTTAAGTCTATTTTCCAACGATCCAATTGGCAATGTCTTGTTTTATGCTGGAGGATTTTAGCAATGTATATGAGTTCCTTAAGCTATTTGTTCTATATAAATATTTAGATATTAATCAATGAAATTGCTACGTTAGTGAAAAATATATCAAGTCACACTACAAAAATAACACAAATCAGCGGCTGATTTTCTAGCTGATTTTTTCAGTTGATTAATTAAAATCAAAAATTACGTTTAAATTTTAACGTCGGCATTAATGATTGAAAATTTCCACACTTTTGATTTAGCAGTCGGTTTAGTAGCTAAACATTTAGTCGTAAAATAATTTATTTAAAAGCGGATGTCTGTGAAGAAAAATTTCGACCGCAAATCTTCTGCGATTGAATTTTCAACAGCAATATAGTTTGCTTAAACATGGTTGCCTGCTGGGAGAAAGTTTAGCTGCAAATCAGTCTTTAACATCTTTTAAACCTAATTCGTTCATGCAACTCTTGTACTTAGCATTTCATTTGTGTTTCGATTAGGGCTATGTCGATGCTGAGGGGATTTCTCCTCTCCGATGGTGCTCTCCAACCTTGGTCTTCGAACATGCTCTCCAGCAAAACTCTCGTGTGACAAGCCTCCGGCCACACTCTCGCTAAATTTTGTGATGATTTCATATTTCCTTGCTTGACAACATTTAGTTAGTGGACATGTGGTTGTATAGGGTAAAGAATTATATAAGAATTTGGTGGTATGTATGAAATGTCCCCAATACTTTATGCTAAATGAAAGATTTTAGTGACATGAATGCAAAAACTACAACTTATGTGTTAGACATGTGTTCATATAAGAATTGGGTGGTATGTATGCAAATGCCCCCTTTTAATTTTATATGTTTAGGCATATAAACAAAAAAGGGGCATTTATTTACATTCATACCAATCAATTCGTATGCATGTAAATGTCCTTTTTATGTAGATTTGTATGTGTGTATACATATATGTGATATATATATATATATATATATATACATACATACATCAATACATACATATATGTATGTATGTATGTTCGTTTGTATGTGAATGTATTTTGAGTGTGTGCGTGCGCGAGTGTGTTTTTATATATGTAATATAAATACATGTATAATAATTGGGTGACAAGCTTGTAAATGTCTCATTTTGTTATTGAAAAGGTTGTATGTTCGATGTTTTATAAAATAGCTAGGTGTTATATATGACTATAATTATTTATCTAAGATGTCATTTTGATTCATTTTCATAATAAATATGTACTATGAAAAGTTTGACTTAACTGATGAATGAAATATCATTATCTTTAAATCTACATATAAGGCGCACTGAATATTTAAACTTTAAAATCATAGATGTACAACATATTGTATTTAGGAAGAAAATGACTCACTTATGAGTTCTTGATTGATGTTCAGTGTTTTCCGCATGTGACATCATAGTTTTCCACTTATCTTTCAAAGGATATGTTTCGATGTCAATTTTTAAAGCATAAGAATCAAGTATTTCTAACACCAGACAAAATTAAGTTGAATTTATATCATAAGGGATTTCAAATTAATTCATGTTATTTGACTATACATGGAGAGTACGAACTACAAGTTGACTAAGATCAGACAGGTGTTTCATGTAATTATGTCCCTCCAAGTGAATATGATCTCGACAAATTTGAAGAATTTGCGATCGATGCAACCCAAGTTCAATTTCCTGAAAACGGCTTTAGAATGAGCCACAGAATACTAAAGCATGATAATTTTATGATTTATTGAATCTTTCACAACAATCATTATATAAAGTTACACCACAAATTAAATGTTATGAGTAACTCTTAAAATGTTGAGTGCTAAATCAAATTATAAAATGCCCATATAGTGTTTGAACCAAATTATATTGTTACTAAAAGAAACAATTCTATAGAAAAATAGTGTTATAAAACTTATACTTGATGAAGAAATTGATATCCAAGTTATAATAGACATCAAAGAAGATTGATTAGTGTCAATAATTGCATCTTATTTTATTGGTCTAATGCAAATGAGATGTAGTATAGATTTTGTGGTGCTGAGAGATTTAAACTACAGTTGAAAAATTAAGAAACAATAAAAATATTTCAAACAAACTAGCATTCTATTTTTCACTTATCATGTATCTTCAAAGATTATTTACCTCTATGCATAAAGCCTTGCATATGACATGGCATTAGAACAAATCAATATTTAACAAATTGTTAAGTCATCTGGCAGATTGAGAAGCTTGTAAAAACTTCAACCGAACTTATCCTGAGTTTGCTGCCGAGTTACTCAACGTAAGACCTTGCCGATGTGCAAATGGATTCACACTGTATAGTTTGTTGATTGTTTTGCAATATAAATCATCACCTTTTATGTGCATGCCTATGCATTTGTTTCTGAGATTGATAATAACAAGTCCAAATGACCTCAAGAATTGATGTGCATTTACAATATTTAATTGACGATCTTCAAAAATAGAATTTCCAAATGAATGGTGCATTGATGTGGACAATAAGTAATTTTCCTGCATATTAAATGTTATCGGGATGGTGCACTGTATGAAAATTGGCTTGTTTATATTGTATAAATATGTCGAAGGCATTTATTTAAAAATATGGCAGGAAAAAATCATGATTTGCCCATCATTAAATTCTTTTATCAGTTGATCACCAATTCAAAAATAAATTAAGAAGCCTTTTTTAAATAGAGTCGAGAACTCAAGGCCTCCACCAAGAATAACTAGGGATGATTTGTGACAGATGGTTAGTGCAATTCTGAAGATCACTTATTCCCCAATTTTATTTTCACAACATATTCCTAATTTCAGTGTTACATATAATTGAACAAAATATAGTATTTTTAGATTTCTCATATTGTAGAACCAATTTACTTAAATGTAATCTTGACGTCATGTACGTTGAGAAAATTTTCTTCAATATAGTGATGTATATTAAGGGAAAGCCAACGATAATGTAAAAGCCATATTAGATTTGAATGTATTTCAAGATAAGGGAGTTAAAATTTCAAGAGACAACTATAGGTAAATTGATAAAACTTAAAGTCAAGTATTCTCTTACATTGGATTAAGGAATAACAATATGTGAATGATTGCATTCTTGAAGTTTCATAAAGGTTATGCATCTAACCTGAGACAATATATCAACTTCAGAGCATAACGTTTGGCATGCAAATTCATGATCGTCGTGTTTTACTCACAGTATTTGTCCCCATACAACATTTAGCAATTTTCTAAGTATGATACTTAATCCATTAATTGAAAACAATTCATTCTTTAAGGATTTATGTGCGGCTCATCTGAAAGTAGATTCATTGTGAAAACCAAAAAGTGAGTATTCCATTGATATCGTGTAAACTTAAGTGGATAATTTCTCTTGGGTTATTTGACTGGCTGGGGCATTTTCTCGCATATATCTTATAAGGTTATAATAATTGGAATGGTACAATACTGGTGTATGTACCCATTTGAGAGAAGTGTAGCTAATTATTTAATTTTTTAAAATTCACTAAAATAATGTACTAAATATTTAATGATGATGTTGAATTTTGAATAAAACCAAACAAACTATGAAAAAAAAAAAAAACATGCCCGATGGATCAATATGTGAAACATACTTGTTGTAGACATGCCCGATGGATCAATATGTCAATATGTGAAACATACTTGTTGTAGTAGATGAACAACATTTTAAATTTGATCAACAATAACTACTATATCATGCTATAAGTGTAGTGTATTTGTAGCATGTGTTTTTTTTTTATTTTAGATGTCAAATAAAACATCAAGAAGATGCAATTCATTATACCTCAATGATAATAAGCTGAGAGCGGTACTTTTATGTATTCCTCTAAACTGCAATGAAGTTCAACTATTTCATTAATAAGATTTGTGATTATTTATTTTTATTAGAGTTTATTGCACAAGTATCATATTAAACTTATTTTCTCAATTTTAATTATACTAACATTGTATTTGACAACTATTTAAACATTGATGATAAGAGAGTTGTAAGTAAAAAAAATTCAAGAACAATTTTCAAAATGGTTAAAAGCATACTTAATTTAACTTACTCGGCAATGCACTTGTCCATATGTAGAATGCTCAAATTATTAAAGTTTGTGAAAAATTTTAATACGTTCATATTCAAAGCAATGAAGTAACAGATCAGAGTTTAAAAGTTCTTGCTTGGGGGTCTAATCACAATATTATTATGTGACCAATGTTTGATGTGAATGGGTATATATTTTACATGAGTTCTTGATTAAAAGAGAAGAAGATGTATGTGTTAAAAAAATAATACCCACTCTCATAGTAGGGTCA